ATTCGCACTTCTCCAGTCTAAGGTAAAGGTGATGTTGTCGGAGCCTTTGGAGGACCTGCTTCACGTGGTGGCGATGTTCGGCCAGGTTCCGGGAATATGAGGATATAATCAATGTAGACTATCACGAAGCGATGCAGGAAATCCCGGAACACCTCATTCATGAAGCCTTGGAAGACTGACGGTGAGTTAGCTAGGCCATATGGCATGACACGATATTCATAGTGACCTGCGGGAGTTATGAATGCCGTCTTCCACTCGTCGTCCTCCCGGATACGAACGAGGTTGTACGCGCTCCGCAGGTCCAACTTGGAGAAGATGCGGGCTCCACACGGGTGGCGGCCTGCTTACTAAAAACATCCTGGAACGCCATATAGTCAGATGGGACAGTGGGTGTTTCTTGAGGTTCCGGACTTTCGACTAGGGTGGAGGCAACTTGGGCTCGAACTAGACAAGCAGGCGGTTTGGGGATCACCATGAGACAGTTTTGCCGGCACGTCTCGCTCCAGCGAGTAACCTCACAAGGTTCCCATCTGACCTCTGGAGAGTGGAGAGTGAGCCAGGGGCGTCCCAGGATGATATCGATGGTGGATCCCTCCAGTACCAGAAATGTGATGGTCTCGTCATGCAGACATCCGATCTTCAGCGGGGTTCGGTAGTTGACCCGCCCACACCCTAGAGGTTTTCCCTGAATGGTCTCGACTCTGAGCTCTTGGGCCTGATGTTGGTGGGGCAGATGGAGGTGGCTTACAAGGTCTCGTGATATGAAATTGCCCGAAGAGCCCAGAGTCAACGAGGGCGGAGACTGAAACAGAACAATCGGCGCTGAGTAGTTGTACTGGTAACAAGGATAAAGTTGAGATTACTGGTTCGAGTTGAATGGTACTCACCGTAGGGCGTGGGGGCCTGACGGGGCAGGCTTGAATTAAATGACCTGGAGCAGCGCAGTACAGGTATAGTCCAGCCGCTAGGCGGCGAGCATGCTCAGAGCGAGTGAGTCTGGTGGAATCCACATGCATGGGTTCTGGTACTGGGGGACCGCTGGTGGCTGCTGCAGGCTGGTTGATGGCTTCGTCAGGCTGGCAGGCTGACAACCGTTAGGAGATGCGTGTAGCTCTTTGCATGAAGCTCTCTAACCCTATAGTATCGTCATAGATGGCCATTTGTGCGCGGATGCGAGGATTCAAGCCCTGCCGGTAGGCACTGAGGAGAGCGGTTTCGTTCCAGCCACTAGCTGCCGCTAGCGTCTGAAATTGCAAGGTGTATTCGCTGGTGGTAGAAGAGCCTTGACGCAGCCACAGGAGTTGGTCTGGGACGGAGAGCATACCTGTAGCAGAGCCAAACACTTCCTTGAAATTATTAGTGAAAGCATCATATGAGTTGATTATGGCACTATTGGCGTTCCATATTGCTCGTGCCCACAACAGTGCTCTGCCAGTTAGCAGGGAAATCAAGAAGGCTACCTTTGAGCGTTCCGTGGAGAATTTCTGTGGCTGCATCTCGATAAACAATGCCACTTGGAGAAGGAAGCCGCCGCACTCAGCTGCGCCATCAGCATAGCAAGCAGGGATGGCCATGGGATTTACAGAGGCAGATGGCGGGGTAGTGACTGGCGTGAGAGAGGCCCGGAGGGTGTGGACCAATTCCTCCAGTACCTCTGCGGGCGTGGGAACCCGGGGATCCATAGAGGTGTATGTCCTGGGTCCGGTCTTCTGTCACACTACGAGCCAGAGACACAAAGTAAGGATGCAAACAGGAGGGTTTATTGACAAATCGGAGAGCAAGTTGATGACAGGTGAGTATGAGAAGGTAGAGAGTTCTTGGGTTCTTAGCTCTGGGTATTGAGTTGGTATCCTTTGCAGGTATCCGGGGATGATGAGAACGGGATCATAGGAGAACAGGATCAATAGAGCTTCTAGGGGTAAGTAAACAAACAGGTCAGACATAGGTAGGAGTCAGGCTAAGTTCAAGCTGGTGAACAGTAGACCAGACAGTGAGGCAGTGAGAGGAGTGCAGGGATATAGTGCGCTTAATGAGTCTCTGCAGGTGCGGGTGATCAGTACTCAGGTGATTGCGATCTGGTGTGTGTCGGGGCTGGTGACTGAGGTGACGTAGGTGACTGTGAAGGCAGAGACTCCCTGACAAGTACGATCTAGTTTATAGAGGAGTTTGAGACCTAACCCAAATAGGACAGAGTTAATCAATACAATAATAATAATGATAATAATAATACATTTTCTAATGGGGGTTATGAAATATGTAAACAAATAAACATGACATGTGGGTAAATGACTGAAAATTGAAAAATGACTGGTAAAATTCTGGATAAATTTAGAATCACAGTGATTTTTTTTTTTTTTAACAACTCTTTATTGAATTTTCTTCTGGGAATAGTAATATAAAAAAAACAGCAACTGTGTAAATTTAGAACCCACCCCAACCCATCCCAACCCTGGTAGACTTAAAAAGAAAAAGAAAAAAAATAAATAAATAAATAATAATAGATAAATAGCAATAAAATAATTTCTACAAAGATTTTAGAAGAGCTGACACAACATTGAAAGCTAAATGCCATAAATTTACAGTTTTCACATTGGATCCATGTATACGAGAAGTTGAGAGTTCCATCGAGATAATGTCCAACAAATACACAGTCCAGGTTCATCTGTCCATTGTGTGAGGAGATCACTATTCAAAAAAACGTAAACACATTTCAATGAACTATAGCAGATCAAACCCAGAACAAACTTTGATCTGCCAGCCCCCGTTAATATGATCCGTGGCGTCAACAAAAACCTGCACATTACTGAAGCACCAACATTGGCTCCATAGTCACACATTGACTAGGTAGTATCTCTATATATAAAAAAAAAAAAAGAGAAAGAAAGAAAAATAAAACCTGAATAAAATTGCATGCATAAAGAAGCAATAAAAAGCAATGAATCTGAGAGAGTCTACAAACTGACAGAAACCAGAGCACACAACGCCATAATCAGTAAGTGATACTGTATGCACAATGAAAGCTTCTAGTAACTATGAATTAAGAAGTGAACATTAAAGTGAACAGTGAAAGACACAGTCACCTAACCATTTAGAGCATCTCTTCTCCGATTAGACAGCAAATGTCCAACTGAAGTTCACTGAGAGTTGGTGGATGAATGGGATCTGAGAAAAACTCTTGCTTCTTCTGGGGAGTATAGCATTTTAGGTTCACCTTGATTGAGAATGACCTTCAGTGTTGCAGGATAAATAAGAAAATTCTGGATGCCACCGTCAACTCAGTTCTTAGAATGTCCTCAAAGTGCGCAACAGTGTTCGCCATCTTATCCACCATATCGTCCGTGGTCGGTGGCTTGGATTTCTTCTTAAAGGCAGAGTAAGTGATTTCTGGTAGCCAATGTTGATATTTGAAATCACCAAAACAAACACGCCCCTACGCCAAAAGGGTCTTGCCCCTATTTTGATAGCTCTGCCCCACATATACGTACTCAACCCAGGCAACGATTAGTTCTGTGAAACAAAGCAAAACCAATATT